AGGCGCTACAGCGATCTGTCACTCCATATTAAACAGCGCCAAAATTGTATTTATTTTTTGAATACTGTAATCAAATGGTAAGAATTTGAAATCTGAGACTTTGTTTCATTTCAAAAGTAAAAAAGCACAAAGCTTACTGCGATGTATTGGATGGGAGGTGCGCTACAATCTTCCGTTCATTAACTGAAAACAGGATAGACTAATCGATTCTTGGGATTTAAGAATCGATATGGACCCTTTTCACAAGACGCGTTTAACGGTCATCAGCATCGTAAATCCTCGAAGGTTTTTTATATTTTAATTTTTTTTTAAAGTACATTTATAACACTATTCTTTGTATTATATCACCTTTGCATCAAATAAAAAAAAAAAGAGTTAACGCTAATGCGAGGGGGTTTCTAATGCAGCGTCTATGGGAGGGACGGTAAATTTGACATCGTTTTCTCTTCTGACAGCCATTATCAGTCTCTCTCAATTTTTTTCCTTTTATTGAAAATCATGAAAACACTATTGTGGCGTTTTTCTTTTGCTATTTGAGCAACTGGGAATGCAAAAAATATATTTGTGGTACTCTCCCATTCACTGCTCTTCAAGTTAACTCGACTGTGACGACTTAGAAATGTGAAAAAGGTCCATTGTTTCGTAAAAATGAGAATCGATTAAAATCGAGAAATCAATCATTTTTACCCAGCCCTAATTATTTCACATGTGCACAGGCTGTACCTCGTGTGACTGTAGAGTGATGACGTCCAGCTCTAGTCCTCTCTCTGTGCAGCTCTTCAGCGCGTGAACGACCTCAGCGTGTTCGGCCCACCTGCAGTCTGCGCCGTTCACAGCCACGATATAATCGCCCTCACGGAGTCCCGCCTCCTAAAACACACTCATAATGCATAATGTAATAATAAAAAGCATTTTAAATGTTACTGTCACTAATGACATCTCTTACCGCAGCACATCCCCCTGGCAACACCCCAGCAACCAGAACCGGCGAATCACCTCGAAGCGTGAGCCCGAGCCCCGCCTCTCCTCGAACCAAACACACATGCCGCCGCACCCAGCGATTTCGAGCGGCGAACACAGACAGCGGCCCCTTCACACGCACAACAGAGGTGAACATTAAACACGTCTGCAACATTTACAGCACATTACAGTGTTTGTGTGAGTGTGAGAGTTACCAGTCGGTGGAAGATATCAGACACTCTGACGCCGCTGAAATCAGGAGTTGTAATGTCAGGCTTCTGCTGTGTATGAGCTGTAGGTGACAGGTCAAAGGTCAAAAGTCAGGGGTCATTATTGTCAAGACAAAAAAGGCTATGTTTGCAATTGCATGCTTCTGTACCGCTACTATTTCTGCATTACGTCTGCTGTGCATATGCAAATCATGTGTAGGAATCACAGGGTTATTATAGTTTACTGAAACTAAAACCATCAAAAAACAAACAAAAAAAAGTGTTTCTTGTAATAAATATTAACTGAAATAATAACAAACTTATTTTATTTCAGCTAGTTGCCAAGGAAATGTTTCTCATTTTCATTTAGTCTAACCTGCTGTACTAAAATAATCAAAACTTGAATAAAAATGTATATAAACTAGACATTTTTTAAAAAACAAAATCTAATTTAAATGACAAAAACACAGAAAATGCAAAATAATGTGGAATTTAACATGCACATATGTTAGCAATGTCATATGACAACGTACTGCTGTTACTTGAAATGTTACTTCATGCATGCTGTCTTACCACAATATTTGTTAAAAACAAATAGCTGCATTTAGTATGTACTCCACAGTGCAATATTTAATTACAAATACAACCAAAACAGCACTGTAAACACTTCTAGTTCAATTATCACACTAGAAATGGAGGGTAAAGTTGAGTATACTGCATTGTGGACAAAATATCAGCATACAGAGCACAGTATGCATACTGCATAATGTAGTGTTATTTTAGTATCACTGAGATACTAGTATTGTTTTTTATTAAAGGGTCATGAAACCCACTGTTAGTTCTCACCACAGTTTTGAAAAATGCTATAAAAGTGCGTGTGGTGCGCTGCAGAGTGGAGGGGGAGGAGGGGAGACAGACAACACTGACAAATTCGGTTTCAGACAGTTTCATTTTGCTCCCATTGAGTTAAAAACAGAAATAAATGCATTTGGACTCTGCTTCAAAAACATATGAACGCGCTGCTGCACCTCTAATAACTTACAGGCTTATTTTGCGGCATTTACATAATGGGTTGCATCAATAAAGCAATAAGCCCCAAGAAGCCGTGGTTTACAGTAAATTTATAACAGCTAAGGGGCGTTGTTAGGCACGACGTGAAGCTTTTATAAAACGGTTATTCCATATATGAAGTAAGGTTTCACAAAATAAAGCAGAGCAAATAAAGTGTAATGATATTAATAAAAACAGTATTCTTCCACCAAACAATGTAGTTCCTCAGAAACAGTTGTGGTTCCAACAAAGTGGTTGCCGAGCAACACACAAATGTAAACAAAGGTGTATGTTTGTAGAGTAATTTACAACAGCTTTGAACTTGGCTCAACCAATCAGAATCAAGGACCGGAACTATCTGTTTTATAATGAGCTGTAAAAACTGCTAAAACAAACACTCTCCTTCGATCCATCAGTGTTTCTTCTCTCAGTTAATGTATGCAATCTCTCAGTCTGAAGAGTCTGTCACACCTGCTGAAGCATCTTCTCGTTGGATAAAAACACGCAGTCTCATGAATAATTGATACACCAATGCATCATCGAAGTACTATAGTCCTTTGCCAAGTCACAAACCTTTAACTGAAAATTGAGTGTTTACTATTGTCATTTTGCATTATTGACACACTATTTTCCTAATTAATGCTGTACAGTTGCTTTGACACAATCTGTATTGTTAAAAGCACTATATATAAATAAAGGTGACTTGACTTGACAAACTGTGACGTTAACAAAATTTAGATTTTAAACCCAGAAGACAAAAAGAGTGCAAAAAAACTAAAAATGAACCAGTTTTCTCCAACAATTAAAATTGACGGATCAGTGGCGTAACTTAGTAATGACGGGCCCCAGTGCAGGCTATTACTACGGGCCCCCTGGGGTGCACGGTTATGAAGCACATACAAACACACAGAGCTCGTGTCTAGAAGGGAACCCATATAAGCAAATTTGTGCCTAACCTACTTAATTTAGACCAACTAAAATCAGTATCTAAATAAATATAATAAATAATTCACATATCAGACAAAATTGCGTTGCAGCAATTCCTTTAAATTTTAAGGTATTTAGAGCAGAGCAACATAAAAATCAGAAAAAAATATATATTTTTAGTATTTTTTAGGCCTGTTTAAGGCTTTTCCTTATTTTTATGGTTTAGATGGTGATGAAAAAATGACTCGCCATCTCCTCGTTGGACGTATCTTTACGGTTTACATAATGAAAGAGTTTTTGATTTCGATTTTAATTATTTCGTTTTAAAGTAGTAATTTAAAGCTTTCTATAGATATATTTATCATATATATTTATCATATCTGTGACTCAATTCGCTGAGTTTCGGTTCATCCTTGTGAAGCCTCCTGTTCAAGACGAGACGGCAAGCGCATCCTCTGTTTTCCTATTTATTTTATAAAAGCACAACGTTTTGTTGATATTGTGAATGTACACAAATAAAAGTAGACCCTTTACATTTCCGAATGTATTACTCTTACCTTTATGAGCAAAAATTATGGCGTAGTTTAAATTGTTTCCACTATCAAGAAAAAAATGTAAGTGAGTGATCGCGCTGGCGCCTCCATGTCCTGCAAAGTGCGCTTCAGCTTCCACTCTTCACACAACAATTGGATATGCGCCTAATAGCGCACATTTATATCGTTTAAACATTTAAACTAACATTGTGATATGGTTAAACTGTTTTATATGTATAGATTTTATTTTAGGCAAGTCGTGATTATTTGAGAAGGCTAA